AAAACAACACGAATGGGAGATTATATCATGATCATCTTATGATTATCTCGGGGCTACCAATCGATAAAAATATTCAATAACATGCTCGACATCTTCAACATACAGAGTTTGTTTCTGTAGATCAGTCATGAATGATGGAAAAAGAAATTTACAACTTGGGTGTAAACAAACTATACACACAATATCAACAACTATATATTTAGACACCCAGCCGAGAAGGAGGAATACTAGTATTACTACTAGTATTAGTAGTAGTAGTAATACTTGTATTTATTTGGATTGATTTCTGGTGACCTGATTAAAGTTCAGAATTCATTCTCCACTTAGATCACCCCCTTGTGGCTAGCTGCAGTATAGGACACAAACCCTGCCTCCTCCATGTTGGCAGATGGGACAGGGACAAAACTAAAAAGTGGAAGTACATCCAAAAACATAAATAATTATTTTAGTTAGTTCTTATAACACTGACTCGAGATTGGTGGACTATTAATGGGACCTCAATACTCATTACATGATGAGCTCAAGACGGCAGCATCTACATCCAAGATATTTTGGCTTCTCTTTTTTTACAACAGATGGAGGTGGAGACGCAACCTTCATATCTGTGTACAGTCTATTGTCTCTATCATGTAGCAGTTGAAGAGCCAGATATTTTACTGAGTATTTGGTAAAGTATTTTGTATTTCTGCAGCATGGCACTGGACTGCCTCTGATTTTAGAGCTCTGTTGCTGAAAGAAGCCACTCAACTGAAAATGAGGACAAGTGAGAAAGGATTAAATGAACCAGAACAAAAACAGCAGTTCTGAGCTGAATAACCAAAAACAACAATTTAAAAAAAGAAAAGAAAAAACACTTCATAGGGCTGAGAGTCAGCAGTGTAAAAATCAGTGTGTTCATTATCCCAAGTAACTGCTTTAAGATACAAGTGGTCAAGTGAATTAATGCTCATATAAAAATATTGATAACAGCTTTAATTGACACATCTATCAGAACGAGGACATTGTCATATAAGAGTGAGAGAACCTGAGCTTCCTCTCTCACTTTGCCAATAAAACGCCTTTAGAGTAATGATCATTTTAATCTACCCCTGAATATTTCATGTTTCATACCCACACGAGCCATTAGCTACAGCGGGAAAAGGGACACCCTTAATTAATGTGACTGGGACAGGCTGCCAGGACCACTGGGCACTATAAAAGCGATTCAGTCTTCATTCTGCACACAGTGTTGGACCACGGATAAAAAGAGGTGAAGTGGCATTTGATAGGAGATCTTGTTCTGAGTTATGACTGGGACACAGAAGTACTATCTCCTTATGATAAGAGGAGACAGAGCAAGATATCAGGCAGGCCCTGTTGGGAAAAGGACAATGAGCCTGGGAAGAAAAATAATACGAGAATGTGGTGCCTGTGTGTATAACATGTCTGGGTGTGTGTGTGTGTGTGTGTGTGTGTGTGTGTGTAGGCTCATGTGCAGTATGTGCACAGACACATTCCAGCTTGCCTTCGGGGATTACAACTATCAGGGTACAAATGATAATGATCATTAGTGGTGGCCCACACACATTGAAGGATATAATTAATGTTTAAAGCAAATTTTTTCCAACCCATTATAGCAGTGGCATATCAGATTGCTTTCTTTTTTTTTTTCCACAGTGACGGAATTATTTAGCTATTGACTGAAGCCTTCAATTAGGTCTCAGAGCTTTTATGATCAGACTGTGAAGGCTGTTTTTTGGGAAGCAGTCTTATCCTCTAATTTCAATCTTGGGTTGGCAGTCAGATACATAATCAAGTAAAATGCATTTGGTGTGGTTAAAGCTTAAATCCATAACACATTCTAGTTAATAACATAATGTTATTTGAAATTATCTACATGGTGCAATGTGTTTAGCTATACAAGTTGAATTTAACAAATCTCTTTAGCACGGTTGCCTCTCTGAACGACAGTCTTTTTCCATGTCTGTCTAAACCATCGCATTACAAGAACCATGTTTCCCATCATCTTTGTGATGTCCAATGTTGAAACTAACAAAGCAGCAGGTCCTGGATAGTTATTTTTTATATTAGCTAGGTCAAAGGAAAGCAAACTACATTATCTTCCTTATCAGAAGCAAATAAATGAAGGAAGATAAGAAATTTGAATCAGTTTTAGACAGGTACTGCACTTGGTAATAATACAATCTGTAGCTAGCTAATAAATCACCCTTATCTTACAATAAAAATGCTAGCCACCTGTGTGTGTGGATAAATTGTGTTTGGATGATATTGTGTTGTAAAGTAATGCATCTTTCAGGTGATGAACTCTGGTATAATTCAAAAATAATAACCTGTAACATTAAATGACTAAGAATATCCTGGTATTGAGTAACCCTGTATTTTTGTCTGTGTGCAAGGTTTTTTCAACACTTTTACATTTCAAACTTCAGATATCTTCGTTTTTGTCGTCTTTTTTTTTTGCTCGTTTCTTCACTTCACTTTTGATTCAGCTCAGTCATTGTGTCATTAAATATCTGTGCTGAACAAAACTTTTCCATTCTGAACACAGTAAAATCTTTATGGAGATGGTCCCCAGTCTTTTATTCTGTGCAATTCTCTCATCTTCACTGTCCTCTTTTCCACATATTTTTCTTCTTTACCATAGTTCCACAACTTTTGTATGGCCACAAAGGACCCTAGAACTTTATTCCACTGCACTGTCACAACACTGAGGATATAAGCAAAAACGAGTAGATAAGTGTAGTTGCTTTGTAATTGTGTGCTTGTAAATCTCTCTCTATTTTTGTAATATTAGATTTTTATAATATCGTTGCCGTGCTGACAAGAGAGGGAGAAGTATCTCCCTTGAATCTGAAGAGTGCAAGTGCATGAAAGAGGTGTGATATTTACAGCTTGGACCTTAGCGCTGACCTCAAATCAACAAGTCACCAAACGGTTCATGACCATCTCAATATAGAATAACAGTGCTACCGTCTTCCAAGTCCAAGTGACCAATAACTCAGAGATGCTTTGTCTTTCTCTATTACATCATTTGGGGTCAAATTTCAAGCAGTCACAGAATGGCCTCAGCCCATTTCCTTAAAACAACTTCAGCATTTCCTATGACTTGCCATCTTCCTTCTACAGGCGCCTTATTCACACAGACAGCATTTCAAGAGCTCAAGCACTGACTGATCTCTAACCTCATTCCACCCTCCGTGATCCCTCCAGGCAATTTGTGGTGGAGGTGACCGCCGCCTGGCAAAATGCTGAGCAGAGGGTCAGAGGGTGCAATTCTCCAGGAGCTGCTAGAGGTCAAGTTGGCATTGGAGGACTCGGTACGGTCTTGAGTGGGAGAGATTTACTTTTATTCTCCAACCACTCTGACTCACATCTCTTGTTTGTTTTAGTTACCACTCCCAAGGTTATCCACCCCACTGTTACTGGTACAGGACAGAGAGGTAAATGTCCTCAATGCTCAGGCATCCATTTGACGCTGCCACTGTACCTGGCTCAGGGCTCAATCAGGAGTCATCTCCGGATCTCTAAGAGCTACAAAAGAGGAGACAACCGGAGCAGCTCCACAGCAACCTGGTACACACCCGACCAGTCATAGAATCTGGCTCTCTCTGCTCTGAATTTTTCTGTCCTCAACCCTCCAGGAGCACCTTTCACATCGTATTGAAATATTACATGTTTAATGTGCTAGTTGTGAGCAGGACTTTACTCTAACATTTTCACTACATTAACCTTATTTATGATGCACTTATGACTAGCTCTAACTCTAGTTAGGTAGCCAAACACGCTAACAGAATGCTCAATAAATACATTTCAAACTAACAAAACTGTAAAACAACCTTTAAGTCCTCTAGTCCCATGTAAACGGTTTGTTCAACAATGATTGGATAATGGACTTGTTGGCTATGGTGACTTCACTTTTTGGCTCAAAGAACATTTACTTAGATGTACGTTGTTTAGCTCAAGCTCCTGCCTCAAACCTGGTTTACTGAATTATTGTACAGATTAATGTAGCATTTGCTTTCCACATTTCAACATCCTGATCTCTATACAGTGCTATCGGCACAGTGTGGTACCCACACCCTGTATGTCAGTATACTGACATACTGCTTCTATATTGGATTATAACTACTTTCTATATTCAAACAGCACAGGGGGTTTTAGATATGTTTTTTCTGACTGACTGTCTCTGTTAGCCAGTTATTCATTGGATTCAGGGATGCTCAGTTGTTGGGTGTCAAAGGCACCTGTAAACAACCTAAATCAGGCATGTAATATTCAGCACTCCATACCAGAGAGAAGAAGGACAAAAGAGATTTGGTGTTTGTGAGTTTCCTTCTTGCAGCCTATTTCTTACTGTGCCGCTCCTGCCTCCTCTCTCACATCTGTTGGTATTTACAGAGTAAATTATTTCTGAGTTTTTACAAAAGCTGTTAGCTTATCAACAGCTTGCACCCAGCCGAACGCCCTCACTCACGTCTGGTTTCAGAGCACAGGATGAGATCAAGAGACTGAATTAAAAGGAAGATTTTCCCTGCCTCTCTCTTCCTTTTTGTTCTGATGGAAACACTTCCATTAGGGAGACAACCCTGAGGGCACAAAGCCCAGAGGGCATCTCAAACAGACTTCAATTTTTTTTTTATTAAAATAGAAACCATCAAGTTCTAACTATAGCATGAATTCAACCTTGAAAAAAACAGCGGGATTCCAAAAAATGCTGACAAATATGAACTTTCCACAAACTGTATTTCTTCATTTTCCAGATTGCAGAACTCATACTAAATTCAAAAGAAACTGATGAAGGTATGTTTAGTTTGAGCAACTGATTTTCATGAATAACTTGATCAAGTTGAGAAGGCTCATACACAAGAACTGAAATTAGAGAATAAAGGAAACAATAAATGTGTCAAATAATCAGGAAGAGACGGAGAGGAAAGAAAACAACACAATAACAGTCAGATGGAACAAAGACTACACACACACACACACACACACACACAGACCTTGTAAGAGTCAATGGCCTCCCGGTCTAGTGAACGGCTGACTGACACCTCTCCTGTGTCGATGTCAATGATGAAGAGACCTTTGGGATCCTGGTCAGCACCGGGGCCTGTCAGTCGGAAGATGTGGTTCCCTGACTTCTCTGTTAAAATCACCTGCAGACACACAAACACACACACACACCGATAGACATCAACGACTGTAAGCTTCTTCCATTTTATTCGGACTCAGCTGACTTCCTGAAACAAAGAATGAGGTGAATTACTTTTTTCGCTATCCTTTTTCTTTTTTGAAAGCAGTGCAGAGAAAAAAAACTTTGTTTATATAGATTTGAGCCAAAGAGGCTTGGTGCATCTTAAATGCTGATGCAGATCCCTGATAGCTAACAATTAAAAATTCATACCAGAGGAGACTTTGATTTCATCAGTTGGCAAATTCAACTCATGTAAAATATATTAAAAGTTAGCATCTTCTCCCTGAACATTGGCGGCCCGCTGTGATCACTTCTGAATGCAATGTAGGATAACTTTTAGATAAGGAAAGTGGAGCAGTTCAATGCATATAAGAATAATTCCTTCCATAATTAAAAGTGGATATTTCTTTTTTTGTTATTTTGGAGTCCAGCCAAACACACTGTTCTCTGTTCTTGATGAGAACTGCCAAGTTAGTCAAGTAACAATCCTGTTAGACAGGGAATAATCTGACCCAGGATAGATGTACTCACATGAGACTGTCGTAGCCAACAGCATCCGCAGGTACGGCAGCACAACAGGAACGGGCAGGTCAAAGAAAGAAACACACAGGAAAACAAAGCATGTTAGATTCACACGGCACAGCAGAAACAGCTACAAAGACCTTGTGTTTGTTTGCAGTTCTGGGAAACAGTTTGAGAGAGGGAGTTGAATACAAAACCAAAATTTCCAAAACCTGATGTGTAAACAAATGTAGAGTTTTGTCGTTTTCAGCACAATACAAGTCCAACAACTCAGCATCTTGATTAATTGTACAGTTTTGGATGAATAAGTGGTTTAGGAACAGAACATAGCGTACGATCTTCAAATGTTATGGTTTGCATTTGGAGTTTGGTTATCTTGCTGAGAGAGTAGGGTGAGAAGACTGGCAAAGCGAACATGTAGCTGGAACCAATTAGCTCAAGACTGAAAATGAGGGAATATCTTGATTGGCTCTGTTCAAAGGAAACTAAATCTGCTGAATAGCATCTCGTAAACTGACTAATGAACATCCAACCTGTGCAAAAACCCAAGTTCAAAGATGTAAATGAGCAGTTTTGGGGGGGTGTTACTTGAGTGCCAAGCTAGATTCCCTCTTGTTCCCAATCTTTATGCCAAGCTAAATGGCTGTTTGCTCCAGTTCCACATTTGATGTAGAGGAATGATGCTGATATTAGTCTTCTCATTTAACAACAAAGGTAATAAGATTCTATCCAAAAAGTCAATCTATTCCTGGATCTAGTGGTGAGAAGATGTACATTTTCATTTTTCTGTGAATTATCCCTTTAAATCAAAGCTGTCAGTACTTTAACCTCATAATCGTGTTTTTACTTCACATGTGCTGAAGTGTGGATCCAACACCTCAACACTGCATCACTGTCTAAACTCTGACAACTGGACCCACATAAATACAGTGCGGTCACTACTTTCGACGTCCTGGGCCTTCCGATGCTGTGTGTCAAGGATCTAAACGGTCTCCCTGCACTGTGCCTCATGATCAGAAGGGTGTGATGAGGTCACCTTTAATGAGTGCACACTTCAATGGGATGGCAGCTAAATGAAGGCTTTTCTACTCCTCACTTGAAAGAGCATGGCAGATGAGGCTGCAGTCATACAAGCCTATGCCAGACAGAGCTCAAGCCCTTATAGTCTCTCAAAGCTCTTTGCCATTTATCTCGATGTCCCCTTTATCTTTTCCCTCTCGCCTGCTTGTACCCTGTGTGTCACTCTCCCTCTCACATGTCCATCCTGGCTCTTCTGCTAAGTGTCCATATCTCATTCTCCGTTCATCATTTTCCACTTCTCTGCACTGTGTCCCCTCACACTTGCTCCCCTGCACTTGTTTAGTTTGTGGATGGTTGCCGTTCAGGATAGGGATAATTCTGAGCAGCGATCACAGTGGCACCCCCGCATCAGCTGAGTGACAAACTGGGTCAGATGAAGAAAACCGAAAAAATAAAAATTGGGTGCAACTTTTGTTGGATTTCCAGATGGCTCAGCGTTAAACTTGGATTGATGCATGAAGAACAGACATAGATATCGACTGAAGAGTGTGAGGATGAGGAATTAGAGAGGGAGGAGGAAGTAGAGAGAGTGAGAGAGGGAGAGATCACTGATAAAGACACAGAAAGTTCAGCTGAAAAGTAACTGAAGTGTCAGGAGAAGTTTAGTGTGATTAGGAGATGTCTCTGTGGGGAACAAGTGTCATAATCTGCACTGTGCATACACATACACTCAAACTTGCACACACGCTGGTGCGGAAACGAACACCCAGTGGCTTTGTCTCTGCAGAGTCTGTCTCCCTCTATGTGCATGGGAGGACTGATGGGAGAATCTCACCTCTTTCTATCAGCTCTCATTACCAGCCAAGCAGACATGAAAGACCGTGGTGCTCGTGATACTGCGAGAAGATGACAGGAGGTGTGGCGCAGCTCCGCAACACACAACACCTCAGCACATTGTGAGATCGAACACCAAAACAGTTGATCTGAGCTGGTTTGTGCATGTTAATGTGTGTTGGTTTGTGTTTATTAAAATCCTTGATAACATCTCCCGCTGTCTGTGTTCCTGTCAGGTGTCGGTGGGGCAACAAACAAAAACTTGTGGAAAGCATCACAGGTGTGCAACTATGAACACACACAGACATTTCCTCAGAGAACTTATGTAACAAGTAAAAATTAGGTTTATTTTTTTCTGTATGTCAGAATCAGGACAAAAATCTGCTGCGCAAAGCAAAGAGTGTGCAGGGAAAGTATGAACCTGGTCCAAAGAAAACCCCATCACTCCAAATCATAATTCAATTCTGTATAAACCCACAACACAGACATAAGCCATTTTCACACATGACACCCAGATAAAGTCCGGACCCAATTCTCCAGAGTTTATCAGTTTGCTGTTCACACATGCCAGTGTAGCAGCAGGTTCTCTGCACAGACACATTCGCATCAGCAACAAATCCTCCGCATCAGGGGAGAGGTGGAGCAGCCGGGTGCAGCACAGAGGCAAGAAGTGATGTATGAACTCCGCTGTCTCTGTCTCCTAACATATTTGTTAAGTAATTTAATAAATATGTATTTAAGACATTTGTGTTCACACATGCTCCTCCTCTGGAGAAAGTGCAGTCTTGAGTTCAGTGCATGTCTGAAAGTAGCTACAGGTCTGCCTCACAGGTCCTCACGGTTTTCAGGAAGAATAAGGGAAGATTTCAACTCCAGTCATTTGTGGTGCTTGTGTGAACCTGTTTTTTGTAATCTCCAGTAAAAACACTGACCTTGTTGGAATTATATCATCCAAACACAACAATTTCTGTGATCCCAGATAGCGTGTGCGTAACGTCATTCACAATGAATCAAAGTCAGTGAGAGTCAGAAAGAAAGAGAGAAAATATGCAGTAGTTTCCCTGAGTGGTGCTTGTGTTATCCCTATCAAAATCATAAAGTCGGCTGCGAATGACAATCACTGGCACTGAGAGGACTCCAGGGACCAGGCCTTGAGGGAACGAGTGCGTGTTGGTCTGATTGTGTCTGTGAACGAATGTGATTTTTTGCGAGTAAAGTCTTGAGTGTACAATAATGTGTCTACAGAACAAGTGTGTGTGTACAAGCATGCCTGGCTTGGACCAGTACCTGATTAGCTTAGCACTCCAGCCTGCTGATGAGAGGAATGGTAAGGGATGGTGAAGACATGGACGACTAGTCCTCAGCACAGGATGATGGGAAAACAATAGTGCTAATTAACTGGCTTTGATTGGTTAGCCAGGACTCCACTAATCATTACTTCATTATCAACATCTCTTGGGCAGCTCGCACCCGGCAAATCTGTTTTTTATAGCATCCTAGTTTATTTTTTGTTTAATTTCTCTAATCAAAATGGATTTCACATCTGCTCGATGTCTCGGGGTCTAGACATGAATTAAAATGTACGTCAGAGGGTTTTTACTCACCGGTAGCTAACATCAGGCAGAGATGGGCATGATTAACATGCTGAAAGACAGACGGAGAGGAAAAAGGCAGAAACCTTTTGGTTTTCCAGAGACAATTAAGAGAATCAATTAGACTAAATGATGAGGCCCACAGGCCGCCTGCTTTTTGTGTCTCACAACACAACTCATTCACGTCCTGATAGGAAGCTCAGAGAGAAAAATGTTGTATTGAATGGCTGCTTATCGTGAGGGGAGAAGCAACAAATACAGATCAAGAGAGATAAAGAACGAGGAAGATACAGAAACAAAGGAGGAAGAAGATGCATGTAAAAGTTGACATACAACAGGTAGAGCGCAACGAGACAATGGAAGGAGAGACACTGACAGGTAGACAGAAACAAAAGGTGCCAGACATGTCCATTCGTTTTAATATATTTACTGAGGCTACAACCAAAACCAGGTCTTAGTTCCTCTCACCAACAGAGCTTTATTGGAGCTGTCATGTTAAGTCAGACATGTTGTTTTGAATGGTGAGCTGGACCCTGAGGTAAGGATGTATAAACACTGTCTGAGTAGCTGACAACTGAAGTGCAGCACAGAAAGTGTTTCATGTTGAAAAATCCACTGTTTTTATGTGTTATTTAATAGGTCTGTGTGTGTTTTGTTGCTAGAGAGTGTATTTGCAATTCTGCTTTTGTGAATTGGGGAATATACGGTTTTCTGGTTAAAAACTAAAATGTGTAAAGATGTGAAATCGAGCTTAACTCATCCATCGATCCCTCCTTCCATTCCTGGCCCTGCTCAGACCTGGTACTAACATCTGTCCCAATAGATCCCATCAAAAGTGGACAACTCTAAAGTTCATTAGTTCGATCCTCAACAAGAAAATATCAAAACCACAAACATATTCATCACATTGAGAGGGACTGGCAGTTGTCCGGCGAACCATCAGTCTTTAGTCATCACCTGTGATTGGCCTGCCAAAGGCTTTAATATGATTCTTATCAAGTTTTCCTGACAGGAAAATTGCAAATAGAAATATTCACAAGTTCAAAATTGGAGCCAGTGATGAATTCTGCTGAGGAAAAGCAGCAGAACACAGACAGCATCAAAAATAAAACTACATGTTAAATACTAAATGTTCGAAAGTCAACAGTGGACACCAATATACTAAACTCTTCAGCAATTTCTGTCCTCTTACACCAATTACAGTCTACAGCTTAGGGAGCTTCTATATGGACAATACAGCAAATGCAGGTTTGTTTTTCACAAGCACTGTCAAATTTGGGTGTGATGGTGATGGATGGGCATTATCGTTGAAAATGACTAATGGATTTGAGAGGTTTAGCTTTGGCACAAAGGCCGAAGCAGCTGGCAACAGCTCTGTGAGGAGATTCTTGGCATAGTTGACACAATATTGCAGCACACCTCACACACAATGTCCTAAAAAGACTTTAAACTGGTACAGGCCTTTCATCATTACAAGACAAATGGCTGAAAAATGACAAAATTAATGTTTTGAGCATTGCAAAATTAATTTAATATATAACAATAAAAGCTATATCAGTCAATTAAATG